ATTTATTTTCGACTTAATGGTTGTCACATATTGCAAGGAATGGACTGCAAAAGCAGTAATTATAACTGTAAAATAATGAGGCAATAATATTCTATTGTAGAATGTATTTATTATTTAAATTTCAGTGTCATTCCAGCTTCGAATTTATGGAAGAGAAAATGCATGGTGGGCCTATGATGTAAAATTGTGCCGTAGGGGCCGGAGAATAGTTACGTGCAAAATTGGGCCTTGACTCAGATTGATGCAATGATGATTTTGAAAAATTTATGAATTGTTCTTGTAAACATATTTTATATTCTCATTGCGGTTAGTTTTTATGTGAGAAGTTTGAACGATGTCGATGATTTCACAATATAGGAAAAACTCAGGCTTTAGTTCCAGGCTTCAATCTCCAACAAGAAAAGATCAGAAACTAAAGTGATGCGTCAGCTGCGTATTTCAGACCGCAGTTACACTTTGATTAATAGTTTGTTTCTGCATGAGGCAGTAGTGAATTAAAGAGTTTCATTTAATTAATATTAGTGTCGTGAGAACACATGTAGACAATCAATTTATATTATTGTTCAACTTCTGCCCAGAATCTAACATCCCATACTGGAGGTAGTATAGCAATTTTGGGTGGAACTAATTAAATAGATCTAAAATCTTCTGTGGTTTAATTTTGCAAGTTGATCAATAATTATTTACGATTGACGATGACGACCCATGTGAAAGGTAATTTATCGACCAAGTATAGTTTGGAAACATGATAAAACATTCCTCGAGTCACTGTTCTAAATAAATGAAAGAAGGCAATATGAATAAAAAGCTTGATGTTTTAAACATACTTTTTCGATATTTACTGTAAGGCATTGAATAAGTTATCGGAGGTCAATTTATAATAAGCGTATGAAGTTCGTTTGTTGCACCACGTTCTCCTTAGAAGCTGTAGCCGCGCTGGGGCTGCTGAGGAGCCTGGTAAGTGTTCTGGGGAGGCTCGTAGGTCGGGCGAGGCTGAGGCTGCTCGTAGGTAGGACGAGGCTGAGGCTGCTCGTAGGTGGGACGAGGCTGAGGCTGCTCGTAGGTGGGACGAGGCTGAGGCTGCTCGTAGGTTGGACGGGGTTGATTGTAGGAAGCCTGAGGCTGGGGCTCGTAGGGACGAGCTTCTCCCTCGTAGGTGACTTCAGCCTGGAAGCCATTGTAGTCGGCGGTGTAGGTGACAATCTGGGTGCGGCCGTCGGGGAGGAGGACGCGGTACTCGCCGGTGGTCACCTTGCCATCGGAGTTCGTGTTGTGGCCGAAGTTGTTGCCGCTGTACTGGTCTTGGACGGCATACGAGTAATCGAATGGCATACCCTGGTAGATGATAGGAGGTTACTCAGCAAGTTATAATTCTTCGGTCTTCGATATTACTTCAGTGACTTTAATAATTTAGTGCATTCATGAAAAAATTAAATTTGCTGGTGGTATTTTCGCACGGGAAATAGGTAAGTTTTGCTTTTCATGATTTGTGCGAATTTTAAACAACTCTTTGGTCTTTCAGAAAGAAACGAATGGATTAGATCTGCCTCTTCACTCACCTCTTCAGGTTCCTGGTACGATGGCTGTCTATTAGAATAAGAGGGATGGGGCTCTGGTTGTTGGGGTGGCTGGTAGGTCTGTTGTTGGGGTGGCTGGTAGGTGTTAGGTCGTTTGTCAGGCCGGGCCACAACAACAAGTGCGAGGCACGAGAAGAGGACAACCTGCAAGCGTGATTTTTAACTTTGGATTTTAACAATATTAGTTTTGCGTAATTTGTAATTTTGACAAATTCAACTCTTCTACCAAGATCAGATGTTATTTTGTCTAGTGCAGTGTCTCAAGTTGTTAGACAGTAACAACAGGCTTACATGAGATTTATCGTTTACGGTGCTTCTTATATAAGGCCAGCAGTATTTCCATTTTCACACTTTGATGGGAAATCATATGAGCGATATCTGCCATTCATAAATATTGTTGCTATTTTGGCAATTCCTGTAAAGCGTCTCACCCTTTAATGCAGGCTAATTCAAATTTTATAGCTTAAACAAAACATTATAGGGGAAATTTATTGTGTATTTCAACTTCGCGTTTGTTCGAAGCAATGTCTCGAGTCAGCAATGACGCATTTTATAATATTTGCGCACTCGTGAGTTCAGAAACAGTACCCCAGACTCGAACAATGCCTAAACCAAATACTCACAACCCGAAATTTTTTGCAGCTCAATCCGCTATCAGTTAAGTATTCGACCTAGCATAGAATAGAATAGAAGTGTCGGCATTGAAGAAATGGGCCCATGGCCTATTACTTCATCGACTCAACGGACGAGTTTCCACATCATAAGTAGTACTGTACGTCAGATGTCTGTAAACATTCACCACTTAGCTAACATTCGAATTTGTAGTTTCTTACATTTTCAAGATTTGTTTGTTAGCTGAGGAGCGGAGCTCACCTTAGCGAACATGATGCAGGCGTGAGTTCGAATGATGCCTGTCACCGGCGGCTGGTGCGTTATATATAGCGCTCACTCATGGCCACGTACGGGGCTCTATCGAAGGCAGTGTTCGAACTGTGAACTCTTTAATGAGTGATCTCAAGAATGTTCACTTTTCATGGCCATATCCAACTCTTACGTGGCAGGTTCAATGAGGTAGTTCAGTGTTTGTGAACGTTTTTGCCACCGATTTTAGGCGGATTTAGCCCTCACCGTACAGGAAGGGACGCATCATCAGCAATATTCACCATGGATTCGATTATTATCGTATAATGGTATTATCAAGCTAATAATATAAGTTCTTTCTACTTCATTAATGATTCCATTGTTTAAAGCTCGTTTTGCTTCGGGATTTTTATATGTCGAAAAAGTATAGATTTTTCAATAATACAAATTTTTATTTTCACTAGAGGAAAAACTCAGTTTGCAATTGAGTATTGCAAATAAATAGAAAATCTGTTTTCAGAAAAGTAGTGATTAGTGAAAATTGAATTTTTTCCCCACTTAAATCCTCTGTCTCCTTACTCAGGTGCAGTTTATTTACTTATGTAACCATACAGCACATCCAATAATAAACTTAAAAAACATAGATATTGTCATAAGAATCCACCCTATCACAATGCGAGGAGAATTTTCGGAAAAATTCAATTATATTTTGTTTAGGAAAGTGTATTGGCGGACACTAAACTGAAATAAACAGACGGTATTTATAATAAAAAAATAACTGATGAACTCAATTCCCACCTTTTTTCAAACTTCGCCTCAAAAAATGCAGGTTATACCGTATAATATCATATCCTACCCAGCAGGCATCTGACGTTGAAAAAACGTTGATTATTGGTTGACTTCGGGCTGAAATGTTGAACAACCAAATTTAAACGTCATATCAACGTCGAAATCTGACAAACACTAGAAGGGTCGTAAAACAACCTTATTTCAACGTTGAAACAACGTCTATATTGGTGCGTTGAATGTTTATTTATTTTTAAACGTCCGATCAACGTCGAAATCTGACCAACACTAGAACGGACGTAAAACAACCTTATTTCAACGTTGAAACAACGTCAATATTGGTACGTTGAACGTTCATTTATTTTTAAACGTCCGATCAACGTCGAAATCTGACCAACACTAGAACGGACGTAAAACAACCTTATTTCAAGGTTGAAACAACGTCGATATTGGTACGTTGAATGTTTATTTATTTTTAAACGTCCAATCAACGTCGAAATCTGACCAAAACTAGAACACACGTAAAACAACCTTATTTCAACATTGAAACAACGTCGATATTGGTACGTTGAATGTTTATTTATTGTTAAACGTCCGATCAACGTCGAAATCTGACCAAAGCTAGAACGGACGTAAAACATCCTTATTTCAACGTTGAAAAATGGTCGATATCGGTACGTTGAATGTTTAGCTATTTACCAGCATGGAACTTAATGTTATCACACCAACATTGAATGAAATACATATGTATAAATGAACGATTAATGACCAGAGAATGTATTTCAATTTTCAAAGAGTCGAACAATTCTTTAGCTTATTTTGTTGCTCATGCACGCGAGCTGCCGTGGTCAAGGTTGCTACAAGGCGTCGCTCGGTCTCCAGCGATCCCGGGTTCGAATCCTGCTACGAACGAAAAACAGGCTGGTTCTTCAACGTTGATTCAACTAGAGAATTTGACGTTGCAGCAATGTCGTTGTAGTAATATTAATTCAACGTTGCATTGTGACGTCAGTACGACGTTTAATGAAAGATGTTGCTTCAATTCTCATTCTAAACCACTTTTCACCCTGATCTCAACGTCGTAATAGGTAGTTGTTTCAACGTCGATTCAACCATCGAATTCAACGTTGCAGCAACGTCGTAGTAGCACTGGGAGAAGCCCGGCATAAAATCTATTCCTGAGCATTTCGGAGATAATCAAGCAACTCATTTGCAACCTCAACCCAATTGTTACTATTTTCACTCAGTCCATAATAAGAGATTTTGAGTTTGCTTTGTCGATAAGACATTTAACTTAAGACCTCATAAAGAATGATGTTCTGATGTACTAAAGACATCAGAAATGTTTTATGGTTTCAGTTATGATTCCAGTGCATTAAATTGATTCCTAATATTTATTCAGTTAGATGTCGGACATCCCTACTTTGAATCTTCTTAATTTAAAGGAACAAACCAAAAAATTTTCTACGCACTCATGAGTATCGTTTCCTGAATCATTTGACTCAAAAACGATAGTAACACGACATTAATCCTCCTTCTCCATTACAGCGTGGTCTCTTCATAATACTTATTAATGTTTTTTGTTAATGACTCTTCGCTTCTAATAAAATCTTAATTTCGGATGAGGAAACGGCAGAATATTTTCGACGAATGTTATTTTGTGAATTGACTCGTTCTTTAGTTTATACTCTTCTTCATCGCCTACTTTTATCAAAGGATCTCCACTCAGCTACCCCTCCATTTAAATAATTAAGACGGTAAAAATAAATGCGAGAGCACGAATGTTCGAATTTACTTTTTCGGTATATACACGAAATTGTCACTGAAGCGTAGTAAAGGCACTGAATAAGTTATCGGAGGTCAACTTATAATACGCGTATGAAATTCGTTCGCTGCACAACGTTCTCCTTAGAAGCCGTAGCCGCGCTGGGGCTGCTGCGGAGCCTGGTAGGTGTTTTGGGTTGAGGCTGCTCGTAGGTAGGACGAGGCTGAGGCTGCTCGTAGGTTGGACGGGGCTGGTTGTAGGATGCCTGAGGCTGGGGCTCGTAGGGACGAGCTTCTCCCTCGTAGTTGACTTCAGCCTGGTAGCCATTGTAGTCGGCGGTGTAGGTGACAATCTGGGTTGCCAATTTATAGATTTAAATGGTATTTTGGTATGTCCAACAAAGCTTCTCACGCTTTATTGGCGTCTAATCAAAAATACATTTTGCGAACAAAACAGTAAAGTGTTAGAAGAATTTATTGTGGATTTCAAAATTTCGTTCCTGTTCGATGGATTGTGTCAAGTCAGGATTGACGTGTTCTATAATATTCGAACATCTTGAACATTCCCTAAATCAAATACTTTTGGCTACGAAATTTCGTTTCCAATCCGAACGTTTCTTCACAATTTTAACACAAATATGCGTAGAGGTTGACAATCCATTCGATAAGGCCAGTCGCCTGACAAGACTCCACTTCTCGAACGACTTGACCTATTCTTCTGTTGCACTTTATATACCTAAGGACATTTTCATGGAGTTAATCCTTATTTGTACTCTAGTAAAAATTACCCATCTTGATAGAACTTTGACAAACTGAACAGTCAACACGAACAATTTGGAACATAAGCATTGATTATAAATTTGTTCCTAATTTCATAAATTCCGCCTTCAATTTTGGTAAACATAAATGAAGCAATTTTTTAAACAAAATTTTTTTGCAACGCTACATTTGAATGAAGTCTTTGCATGAATTTATCGAATCAACGAGCGAATTTGCAAACCATGAGCATAGCACCTCTTAACTTTGTCAATATTCATTCATTATGAAACTGAAATTCGATGGAGAAGTCTATCACATATCCAAGGTTTGCTTGTTAGCTGAGGAGCGGAGCTCACCTTAGCGAACATGATGCAGGCGTGAGTTCGAATGATGCCTGTCACCGGCGGCTGGTGCGTTATATATAGCGCTCACTCATGGCCACGAACGGGGCTCTATCGAAGGCCCCGAACCGTGAACTTTAACTTGAGTGACCTGATGTAAGTGCACTTTTCATGGTCATATCCATCTATTACGTGGCAGGTTCATTGAGATAGGTCAGAGTTTGTGAACGTTTTTGCTACTAATTTTAGGCGGATTTAGCCCTCACCGTACAGAGAGGACGCATCATCAACAATATTCACCATGGTTTCGGTTTTTATCTTATAATGGTATTATCGAGCTCATAATATAAGATCTTTGTAGTTCATAAATTATTCGATTGTTTAAACTCGTTTTGCTTCAGGATTTTTATATGTCAAAAAGCATAGATTTTTAGTAATACAAATTTTTGTTTGACTAAAAGAAAATTTCACTTTGAAATTAAGTTTTCCAAATAAATAGGAAATCTGTTTACATAAAAGTAGTGATTAGTGAAAATTTAATTCTTTCCCACTTAAATCCGCTTTCGCCTCAGTCCAGTGCAGTATATTTATTTATGTAACTCTACCGCACATGCACTATAATAAACTTGAAAAAACATAGTTATTGGCATAAGAATCCACCCTATCACAATGCGAGGAGAATTGTCGGAAAAATCCAATTATATTTTGATTAGTAACGCGTATTAACTGACACCAAACTGGAATAAACAGAGGTATTTATAATGAAAACAACTGATGAACTCAATTCCCGTCTTTTTTCAATCTTCGCCTCAAAAAATGCAGGTTATATAAAAACATATCCTATATACGCGTCTTCACAAATTATAGTTTAGAAAAATCCCACAGTAGGCGCAAAATTATCAAAATTTAGAATGTTTTTTGCGTTCTGTTTTAATAGAATGAATGGTAAAGCGAACGCAATTGAATATCGTCATGGAACTCATTAAGAATGACGTCCACATTTACTGAGGAAGAAGAGCATTTTAGTATCCTGTACCATCATTGATACTGGACAAGATAATGATGAGTCTTAGAGAAGTGTAAGTTGGACTATATATGTTTTCTTCGAGAGGGGAATCAAGCCCCGTCATTGCCTCTAATTCTAGTCTTAACCCAGTACAAGATTACACACCTAATCTCAACAAGCAATGGTCTTATTTAGTCTTTCAACCGTACTACTTGGCATATACTTGAACTCTTGTTTGAAATAATTCAGCAATAACCAGCAAGTAGGGAAACCTTGTAGCCTTCATTTGCTTGACTATACAATGAAGAATTTGCCTGTTTACTACTCTCCCAACCCATGCCGTGAGCCTAACTGTCCACTTTAAACTAATAGGTATTCTGTACTGGACTAAAATACTTCTAGCCCCATTCGTCAAAAATAAGACCAGCAAAGCCTTTCTTCTCCGTTCCTACCTCGTCGACTGGCAAAGCACGCACAACTCTTGTAATTTTGAACAGATCCAAGTGAAAATTAAGACAAATATTGTCCAAAAACAAAATTGTGGTCGAACATAATCGAAATTATGGTTGTGGTCGAGCAATGGCAAGTTACTTTACTCGATTCATGTACGCCAACTCGCTCACACCACTCGAGCGCCATCCAGGGACTGGTCAAGTGGAGATTGGTACTGGTAGAACCGAAGCAGGTTTAGGCAATGGCTTCTTGGCTGCGGGTGAAGGTAGTGAGGTAGCTTCTCACGAAAATCGTGGAGGGGCCCATTTGCGTGGGACAGATACTGAACGTTGTGAGACGCAGATCAGACGCTCCTACGAGTATATAGATGTAGAAGCGATGATTCAATTAAGCTGTTGTTTGTCGCTGTCGTGCCCCCGAACCTAGAGTTTGGAAAGGCGTGACGACCTCATTAAAGTATATAAGTATTCTCATGGCTTGTACAAGGTCTCAGACGGTCTACTAGAATTTGAATCAAGAATCAACACCAGGGGCCACGGCTATACACTGAAAAAACCGTGGTGGAACTCATCCATGCGACAACATTTCTTCTCGCTTCGAGCCACCGACATGTGGAACTGCCTACCTGATGACATCTTTGACGTTTCAAGGATGAACGCGTTGACGCGATGCTATGCAGAGGTATGTATATGCTCAGGCCTGGATTGCCCAGCACCCTACGGACCTGGTAGAAGTCCAGTAGCTATTTTAAACCAACGTCAGTTTTAAAAGACCTTGTCAAAAAGACAGTTTTAAGATTTCCTGGTAACCATTCATGAAAAGTACGCGAATCGGCGACAGGCCACACCAGGCCTACTCTTCAGCGCCGAAAATACTATGGTATGTTTTTTCTGCCGCCTCTCCTGCAATGCTTTAAAGCGCAGTGTAAATTGAATTTTCGTCATTTGACACAGTCCATGTTCAATAATGTCAAAATATAGTTCTCATTAATCTCAAAAATGAATTTCAGAACTAATGTCGCCCATTTCTCTCTATTCCTACGGGTGGCCAAAGTTCCAGGAGTTTATCAAAATAAAATGTATATAAATTTGATCCTTCGCTCTTCATTCATCTATGGTTTATATGCGGTTCGTAGCATGAAAAAATTGTACTCATTACATCGAGCATATAGTATATGCTGTCGTTTTTTATTCTAAGGATTTTTCATTTTGTTTTAATTCGGGTACTCAAATTTTATTATTTCTTTAAATCCTGATTCAAGCCGTAGTCTCAGTTTTGAAAAAGATATTGACCATCTAAATCGTCAGATATTTTTGTCCAATACAAGCTGCCTCTTGAAATTGTTTTTTTTAATTTGACTTGAGCATTTCAGAGATAACCAATTAACTCATTTGCAACCTCGACTCTGTATTGTTACTATTTTCAGTCAGTCCATAATAAGAGATTTTGATTTTGCTTTTTCGATAAAACATTTAACTTAAGACATCATAAAGAGAAATGGTTTATGGTTTCGACATCAGACATGACAACCAGAGACATCAGAAATGTTTTATGGTTTCAGTGCATTCATGTTACGATTCCAGTGTATTAAATTGATTTTTTATATTTATTCAGTTAGATGTCGCACAACCCACTTTAAATCTTCTTAATTTCCAGGAAAAAAAAACAATTTTCGAAGCATTCATGTGTATATCGCTTCCTGCTATCATTTGACTCGAAAACGGTAATAACACGACATTAATCCTTCCTCACAGCGTGGTCTCTTCATAATACTTATTCACGTTGATTTTTGTTAATGACTAGTCGCTTCCAATAAAATCTTAATTTCGAATAAAGAAACGGTAGAATAGGTTCGACGAAGGTTCTTGCGCTAATTGGCTCGTTCTTTAGCTTATACGCTTCTTCATCGCCTATTTTTATTCAAAGTATCTCCACTCAGCTATATCCCTCCATCTAAATAATTAGGACGGTAGAAATAAATGCGAGAGCACGAATGTTCGAATTTACTTTTTCGATATATACACGAAATTGTCATTGAAGCGTAGTAAAGGCACTGAATAAGTTATCGGAGGTCAATTTATAATACACGTATGAAGTTCGTTCGTTGCATCACGTTCTCTTTAGAAGCCGTAGCCGCGCTGGGGCTGCTGGGGAGCCTGGTAGGTGTTCTGGGGAGGCTCGTAGGTCGGACGAGGCTGAGGCTGCTCGTAGGTCGGGCGAGGCTGAGGCTGCTCGTAGGTTGGACGGGGCTGGTTGTAGGAAGCCTGAGGCTGGGGCTCGTAGGGACGAGCTTCTCCCTCGTAGTTGACTTCAGCCTGGTAGCCATTGTAGTCGGCGGTGTAGGTGACTTGGTCACCTTGCCATCGGAGTTCGTGTTGTGGCCGAAGTCGTTGCCGCTGTACTGGTCTTGGACGGCATACGAGTAATCGAATGGCATACCCTGGAAGATGATAGGAGGTTATTCAGCATGTTATCTTCATTCGGTCTTCGATATGCTGTCAGTGACTTCAATGGGCAAAAATATAAAATTCAAATTTGATTGTAGTATTATTCGTCATAAAAAAAACAGGTTTGTTCGGCTGTTTCGCATTTCCAGGCAGGTTGAAGTACTTACTTAAAAGCGAGAAGTCGAGTAAGGAAAGTTTTTATTTGTGGATATCAAATAGATGAACTTCAATCTGCTGGACTCACCTCTTCAGGTTCTTGATAGGTTGGCTGTCTGTTGGAATAGGAAGGACGGGGTTCTGGTGGCTGGTAGGATTGTTGTTGGGGAGGCTGGTATGTCTGTTGCTGG